AAAACGCCAATTCTCATTTTTGGGTACGTTCCCATTTTTCCCGCAAGTCCACTGCATGACTGCCCAACAGCTTTTTCAAGCTTGTCTTTGGTGATGATTTCCTCTAGCTTCTTCAGCGAGTCAATCAGAGCCAACCCTGTCGGTAGCTGGGCAAGCCGGGGTAGACATTGCTCAACTTTGTATCCTGTCATTGCTTGCACTGAGTTGGAGAACACCAGCGCTAGCCCTGCCACAAAAGCCGTCTATCGAATGAGGACATTGCTCGTGGTTCCCAGTCCTCCTTCACGCATGGGTAGGTGCACCTGCGCCCGAGCTGTTCCTTTGAAGAAATCTACCTCCTCGCTCTTCGTCGGGTCTGCGCGTACTTCTTTGACCGTTGGTATTCTCATGCTGTCGGCCATCTTGCCAAGGACGATCTTACTCATTGCCCACATCATCATGTTGTCATGTATTTTTGCGGCAGAGTTGGTGATAGACGGTGCAATCGTCCTCAGCAGATGAAACAAACGTGGCGCACCAGATAAACGTAGCAGTTGATAGCTGGCTTGAGGGTCGTCAAGCGTTTCTTAGGCGGCGTATCAATTCCGCCGGGTCACCACGGGCGAATTTGGAAATGAAATTCCTCTGGAACTCTTCTGTCCCTACTGGGATCCCGACTACTGGCATGCCACCTTCAGCAACTGACAGACCAATTTTCGTCAACTGTTGCTGTTCGTCGTCTGTGAAAGAGGACATGCAAAGACCCTCCGGGAAAGCGCTTTGGAATTCGGGAGACTGAGCTCAATCCCTTGTTGGGAGAGACGCCGTTTGAATGTGGGTATCGTCTAGACTATCTCTAACGGGTAGCTTTCTGTGTGTGTATTAAAATCCACCATGGTGGATTGAAGGTTGATGGCGCAGCTCCGGTCCACGCTTCTGGAGACAGTGGTTCGAGAAACAGGCTCCTACAAGATGTTGTTGTCGGGCTAGAGAGAGACATCCAGCAACATCTCGCCACAGCTCCTCACAAGGAACGACTGCTGCCCAATGCACAAATGTGGGCCACGGCCCGCGTTGGATACGGCCCGGGTTTGGTGTGTGATGGCATCAAACTATTGTAGTCTACGTACGTACAGCAGATTGTAGGCTGTATGCAAGTTTGCATACCGCTCACGTCATCGATAGCCTGCTGCTGCTGGAGACGATCACCACCGGCTCCCATGGTGTCCGCGAAACGTCGCCAGAAAGGGGCGAGAAATTACCCGTGTCGTTCGTTAGAGACGGAACACGTTTGTCGCATCAAGTCGGATGTAATTATGGTAACAAAGCGGTCTGCTGCCGGGGCTGTACAATCATGGTTGGGCAGCTCACCACATATTTCTTTCGTCCCTTCTCCTTCAGTCGCACCACCAGAGAGAAGCGCCGCGGTAGAGTTCTGGTGTTATCTGCGTTCGGCACCGGGGTGGGTGTGCTGTGTGTGCGCTTTGTGTAGTACCAGACCAAAGCGTGCTCAATGCGAAGTACCGCCTTGAACGAAAAGGGCAGGAAAAATTGGCGAAATAAACATCATACCCAAGGAGCAATTCGGATTCCGACCTTGGCGATCCATCGTCGGCATGCTGTTTTTCATGCGTCGACTCCAGGAGCAAGGGCGGCGAGGAAAATATTCCGCTCTACATGTGCTTCATATACCTGCAGAAGGCTTATGACTCGATGGATCGAGAGCTGCTGTGGAAGGTGCTGGCCAGGGCTGGGATTCCCGCGGAGATGGTCATTCATCCGCCGCTGATTCCGCGACAGAATGCGAGCCCCGGGTTGGGTGTGAATGGACGACGGAGAGCTGTCGTGAAAGNGAAGTGCGCAGCACACGCGCAAGCCTCATCGTACCAACCGCGCCAAAAGGGTCCCCGTGACTGCACCGGCGTTAGTCTACAACACACAGAATTCCGAACATGTATCCCCTTGGGATCCTCACGACCAGATACTGCTGCGAGTATATCTAACATCCCCCCTGCTCGCAACACTCTCTCACTGAAAACTCGCTAACACCCGATATCTCAACCAAAAGACGTCTTTCCCAGACGATATGCCACCAAGACTTTACCAGAATAACATAAGAGAGAGAAAAACAATTCAAAGGAATATGAATGCTGCATCGCTCGTAACAAATACTTGGCGCGGGAAATGAAAGAAAACGGGAAACAAAACGAGAAGCAAAACAAAAACAAAACACAACCTATCAGNAACAAAACGAGAAGCAAAACAAAACCAAAACACAACCTATCAGAAAAACAACAAAATGTTCATGCCAAATTCATCACAAAATCACGGTGAGACTCGAATGCATCCTTCGACAAACTCTTCGTAAGGAAAGTCTGCACGCTGGTACGGCGACGGCACGTGAATGACCGAACTTTCCTTCCTCTCTACCAGTTCCCTGAGAAAATGGTGCCTTACATCAATGTGTTTCGAGTTCGAGTTTGAGATGGGGTTCTGCGCTACTTGAATCGCCCCCTGGTTGTCCTCGAAGACGGGGATGCACGGCATGCCGACCTGCGGCAACATGAAACGCCAAATCTGCCTCAAAAACAAAATCTCCTTCACTACGTCGCCTAGCGCGACGTACTCTGCTTCTGTCGTCGAAAGTGTGACGCACTTTTGCGTTCTGGAAAACCAAGACACAGCGCCTCCTCCACACGTCACGATCCCCCCTGATACCGACCTACGGTCTGCTGCCTTGCTTGCAAAGTCCGCATCAGCGTATACCTGCAAGCTGAACCCCTCTACCGTACCTCTCTGAAACGAAATACCAAAGTGACTCGTCCTCCTCGCATAGCCTAAAATATCCATCGCTGCA